AGTTGGTTTCAGTCCGCTGAAAGTTTTTGTTTTTGTTTCATGCCATGGGATCTTTTCATCAGATCATATTTTCATTTTTTGTTTGCTCTTTTTTTTTTTTTTTTTTTTTTTTTTTTAGACAGAGTCTCTCTATAGAGCCCTGGTCCATCCTGGAACTCACTATGCAGACCAGGCTGGTGCAGAAAAATTAGAGATTCACGTGCCTCTGCCTTCCAAATCCTGGCTGTCCTGGACTCACTTTGTAGATCAGGGTGGCCTTGAACTCATAGAGATCCGCTTGGGTCTGCCTCACAAGTGCTGAGATTAAAGGTGTGCGCTACTGCTGCCTGGCCCATTTATTTATTTATTTGTTTAAGATTATTTGTTTATATGAGTGTTCTTTTGTTGAGCACACCAGAAGAAGGAATCAGATTCCACTACAGATGGTTGTGAGCCACCATGTGGTTGCTGGGAATTGAACTCAGGACTTCTTGAAGAGCAGTGAGTGCTCTTAACTGCTGAACCATGTCTCTAGTCCCCCCTCCCCAATTATTTATTTTTAAGATGAAGTTTTGACTGTGCTGCTCAAGCTAAACCCATATTCTTGACCTCAAGCAATCTTTCTTCCTACGCCTTCTGAATAGTTGGGGCTACAAGAATGCATCATCTTTCCTGGGCCAGACTCTAGCTTTTCATCTGGGCGTGGCATAGAGAGACCTGTGGAAAGACTGGAAGACAGAGCAGGGGAAGCATACTCAAATCCCGGCTTTGCTAAACTGGGTAAGCAGAGAGCACCTCAACTTATGTACCTTTGTTTTCTTATCTATAGGCTAAGATAATAAAACCTCCTCAGAATTCTAGCATAAGGATAAAAATTAATTAATACAGGGAAACTACCAAGAAAAGGACCAATCAATTTTGAATCTTGCTGCTTTTCTTTCTAACCCTTTCTTCTGATGTTATGCTTCCTTTTTTTCTTTCTTTGTTGTTTGTTTGTTTTATTTGTTTGGCTTTTTAAAAATAGTTTTACAGTCTCTCCGTGTAGACCTGGCTGTCCTGGAACTCACTCTGCAGACCAGGCTGGCCTCGAACTCAGAGATCTACCTGCCTCTGTCTCCCAATTGCTGGGATTAAAGGTGTGCACCTGCTGCCACCCAACTCATTTTTCTTTTCTTTTTCCAGACTAGATGTGAGATTTATTACTGAACATGATTCTGTGAGTTGTAGGAGAGCACAATGGAAACCCTTAGGAGTTCAGGGCTCTTCACTTGTCCAGGGGACCATGATTGGGATTATATGTCACCTCACAGCCATCAGGGATGAGCCACTTCTCAGATACCATGTCTTCAAATTCATATTCATTATTATGTAGCGTGGTGCACATGGAAATGATGACTTGGCCAATATGAACCCTGGCCTCTGTATCCTGGAGTTTCCCAAAGGCACCCACCTACCTGCCTGGAGCCTAGACTGGGGGCAGACATTGATATCAGAAACATAAATATCCATGGAAAATTGTCTCCAAGGTCCCTTAGGGGAACCTATATAGGCTACATGCACATCCAGCCGAAGAAGGCTGCCATTTGCAGCCATTGCACATAAGGTCCCATATTACTTTTTTTTCTTTTTCAAGCCAGGGTTTCTCTGTGTGGCCTTGGCTGTCCTGGACTTTCTTTGTAGACCACCCAGGCCACAAACTCACAGAGATCCACCTGTCTCTGCCTCCCTGGCTACTGGGATTACAGGAATGCTCCACCACACTTGGCACTTTATTTTTTTTTTAAGATATATTTATTATGTATACAGTGTTCTGTCTGCATGTACACCTGCATGCCCAGAAGATGGCACCAGATCACATTATAGATGGTTATGAGCCACCATATAGTTGCTGGGATTTGAACTCGGGACCTCTGGAAGAGCAGCCAGTGCTCTTAACAGCTGAGCCATCTTTCCAGCCACCCATGTTACTTTTTTCTACAGAAAAATTTAGGCATATTCTTCAAAAACTACCCTGGAGAGGCATAGTGGCACAGACCTTTGATCTTAGCACTGAGAAGGCCAGCCTGGCTTAAATACAAGTTCTAGGACAGCCAGAGCTATGTAGGGAGACCTTGTCTCTACTCTTTCTCTCACTCCTCCTAAAATTGTGTCCTAATATTATTTAAGAAATTAAAAGATGTGGAGAGTTGCTTGTTTGTCAGGCCGCTTTGTTATGAGTTCTCAGGGGAAAATATGTTTTCACCCTGGTCTTCACCTGGAGATAGGGATAGGCAGGATGTTTTGCCAAGTTAATTTCCTTTTGTTTGTGTGAGGATCACACAGACAGGTGGTTGAGGTGAACAAGTTTAACTTCTCAATGAACCCCTTTACTGTATCAAGGTGAATTGTGGAATAAACCATGTGTGACAGGTTCTACTGGCAGCCCTCTTGAACTGATCTTATGTGTAGTGTGTCATTTTTAATTTTCTTTGAATCTTCACTCCCTAGTCAGGAACTGTTCGACTCTGCCAGCGGGCTCCTGCAAAAAGAGATGTATAATACTTTTTATTATTAGTTGTATTTTATGTGTATGGGTGTTTTGCCTGCACATATGTCCACTGAGGTCAGCAGAGGGAACTCTTGGAATCAGACTTACAAATCATAGAGAGCCACCATGTGTGTTTTGGGAACTGAACAAGTGCTCTTAACCACCGAGCCAGCCTTCAAGCCCCTTACAGTTTATTTTTGAGACAGGATACTGTTATGCAACCTAGGCTGACTTCAAACTTGTGTTCCTCCTGCCTGATCCTCCTGAGTGCTGAGATTATAGAAGCTCACCATTATACCTGGTATAAGGATTTTACACTTAGACCATTCTGATAGACTACTTCAAGACATAAATATAAAAAACAAAATTGGTCAGATTATATAGCATTCTCAAGAAAAAAAAATGTTTATAAAAGAATTTAAAATTTTTTACAGTGGTGCTGGGCAGTGGTGGCACACGCCTTTAATCCCAGCACTCAGGAGGTAGAGGAAAGTGGATCTCTCAGTTTGAGGTCAGCCTAGTCTACAAAGCAGTTTCAGGACAGCCAGGGCTATGCAGAGAAACTCTGTCTCAAAAAACAAACACAAAAATTACAATGTGTCTTCTTGAGAGCAGGGTTGGTCTTCCAGAGGATCTAAGTTCTAGCACCAGGCATGAACGTGTTGCACATACCCATGTGCAGGGAAGATACTCAGACATGTAAATTTTATATCTAAGGGAATAATAATAAAAAAGATGAAGAAATCATTTGTTGCTGTTATAGAAGACTGAGGTTCTGATTCCCAGGATCCACATGAAGGTTTCGAGCCACTTGCAACTCCAGTTTCAGGGCATCCAGTGACCTCTCTTTTGATCTCCTCTGGCTCTTGCATGCACATGGTACACATACATACATGCAGGTACACACATATCCCCCAAAAGTAAACAAATACATAGATATTAAAAAAAATAGTAGCCTGGAGTAGTGATGGTGGGCACGGCCTTCAATCCAAGCTATGGGGAAGGAGGAGCAGGCAGATAAGTGAGTTCACGGCCAATGTGGTTTTACATAGTGAAACCAGACCACCGAGGTCTACAAAAGTTGATACTGTCTCAAACAAAACAAAACAGTCTTCAAAAGTAACAAGACTATACTGTTTCTTCTGTAGAGGGTCCCCATTGTGTGATGGCTACTGTGTGTGCAAAAATATGCAAGTTTACAAAACCAAGTGAGGCACCTGGGAAGTGATGTTACCAATATTACCAATTTCAAGCACGGTGAGCTTTTCTTTTTCTCTGAGGATTGCTTGTATCTCAGACCATTCTGTAACTCACGGTGTAGCTAAGGATGATCTTAAGCATCCAATTCTTATGGCTTTCACTTCCCTTGTACTGTGATTATAGTCTTTTCCCACCTTACTCCCACACCCACTTTAATGAAGTTTCTTATAATCCAACTGATGGTCCTGCGATGTCAGGAAGTGGTGGCTGGGGGTATTGTGAGCTCTGTGTACCGGAAGGTGTGGATGGATGGAACTGCTGTGTCCATGCCGCCTTGCATTTTGTCTGTCACATATAGGCACCTTCTAAATCTTGAATCAAGTAAACAAATCAATTAATTTGGGGGGGGGAATTTATTGTATGCAGAACATATGGCTAGATTTTTTTCCCATTCTTTATCTCTAATTCTCACAACTATGCGGACACACACAATGGCTCCCATTTGACAGAACAGGAAAGTGGAGGCGTAGAGTGGAACAGGTCCTCTGCATTATTCAAATAGTTCGTTATGATTACAGAAGTCATTCACTGGAAACCAGATCTAATTACTATCCGTCCACTCATTCATCCATCTGTCAAAAGATTCATTAACCCTCTATTGCGTAGTACAATGATCATAGTACAATAAATACTTTAGATAACTAAACAAGCTGAGCTCTCTTAGGAAGACCAGCTCCGTGGCTGGACTGAGGACACTGAAAGCGCAGAGTTTCAGCACCACCCTCAAGGAATGTTGTTGCTTTTACCTCAGTCACAGCATGGCTTGAGAAGATATAGGTACTGAGAAGTTGGGTGTGTGGTCTGGGATGACCCAGGGCTAAGAGCTAGCATGATTCCTCTTAAAGCTTGGCGTGGAGAGTTTCCAAGCAGGCTCGGACAACCCAAGACTCAACTTAATAGCTTGCTGGGGGTGGAGAGATTGGGCTGGGGGTATGAGGACGGTGTGGATAATTTGAGGAGAGGGGGTGTGGCTCAGGAAGCTACGCAAAAGATAAAGGCGTGGCTCAACCATATTACTCCTACCCTATTTGTTTCCGCCGCCCAGGGCGTGGCCAAAGGGCTCCCTTCTCAAAAGGGCTGGCCAAACCCGGTGTTCCCTACACCTCGAAGTCGTGGCTTAGGGCGGGCCCTCGAATCTCCTGGCAGCAATTGGCTGCCTTGCTCAGGAGGTATGGCCCAACCAGACTGCCATCCCCAGTGTGGTCACTTCCTGTGGAGTTTCCCCAGCCCAGGGAGGAGGGGGAAGAGGACAAGGGGGAGGCGAGCGATCGTTCGGGGTTAGGTTTGGGGGTTGTTGGTCCGTTCAGGGCGGGTGATGACTCACGGCCCATCCCATCTTCCCGACGCCGCCCGCCCGCGCAGAGCTAGTTCCATAGCTTAACGGAGGAAGCAGTGACGAGCGGGGGGAAGGGGGACTCTTATTTTGTTAGGGGGACCGGGCCAAGGCCCGACCGGCCTGGCAGGGCTCGCCCGGGGCCGGGCGTCATGTCTCATGCTGCCGAGCCAGCTCGGGACGGCGTAGAGGCCAGCGAGGAGGGCCCTCGAGCCGTATTCGTCCTGTTGGAAGAGCGCAGGCCAGCCGACTCGGCCCAGCTGCTCAGGTGCGGTGCCACCTGGGGCCGGGAGTGACAACTGAGGTTCCCCAGGGACTCATCTCAGGACATTGGGGGCCCTGGACTAGGATCCGAGATTTTTGGCCTAGGCTTGAAGGACATCGGAGTGCCCATCTTGGGTGGGCACCCCAGTTATCTGGTAGTGACCCGTTTAGATGAAGCTTAAAGGTGTAGTGGGAGCGCGTGTGTGTGTGTGGGAAGAGTCATATTTGGGGGTCTCTCTACTGTGTCTAGCGAGTCAGATTGTGGAGTATACAGAAACTGGCCTGAGGTAGTTTAACTTGGCAAACTGATTAGGAGCTGAATTTGGGATTGTTGAGTCGGTCGCAGAGGGATGGATTTCACTGTTAGGTGAGGCACTGATTTTAAGAAAATCCTGGGATCCCCCCCTTCAGTGTGGGAAGAGGATCCTGGGAGGCAGAGGTGCTAGTTGGGGCACCTAAAGTGACTTCAGTCACCGGTGCAATGTTTGGGGATAACATGTATCTGGAGAGGTTAAGGGGAGGTCTCAGATATGCCGTGAGTGTGTGAATAACCCAGCGAAGCAACTTGATAAGCTTGATCGTTCCACTGTTGCTACCCCCTGCCCCGTGTCTGCTTAGAAATGCCGGGAGAGTGGAAACCCTCTTGCCTTGGCGAGTAAGTGCTTAAATGTGAGGCAGCGGACCAGACTGGAAAGATACAGTTCACTTTTAGCCGCGGGGAGGGGGGGGAGGCCTCAAACCTTATTTGGGAACTCAGGGGAGGGTCTTGTTTCTGCTGCTACTCACCCCAGTCTGTCAGCCAGCCCAGCCCAGCCCACCCACTCCCTACCCACACACCCCCCTCTTCCTTTTATTTAGCCCTCCCAGCCTGTCCCTCAGTTCCCGGGTGTAATCTTGAATCAGTCTGTAGAGCTCGAGTGAGTACCGATTGCACCATTTCTCTCTGGGTGGGTCTTCCGTTTCTCTTCATCCTCTCATTTCCATCAGCCTTGCTTTGAAGCTTCAGCCCTTGTTTGCCCATATCTCTGCCCTCCCCAGCACCCATATTTTCCAACTTAATGTGCAGTGGTGTGTGAGTTTGGGAGGGGTCTGCCTCCTTTCTGCTTGGGATTGTGCGTAACTCAGCTACTCTCTGAGCTTCCTCTTCCCAACTTCCTGGGTGGTTTTAGAGCTGCATCTGTGGGCAAGGAGAGGAAGGAGGATCATCGTTGGGGCGGGGAGTGAGTTTACCAAACGTAGTCACAAGCTTTGTGGATTCTAAACTTCACTAAATTCAAGGATGTATATTTGGGGATGCGGTGTGTGGAACCCAGGGCTTCACACTTGCTAGGCAGGTGTGGTACCACTGAGCTGTACACGTCCAGCAAGGATGCACATTCACCCTAGTGTGTGTATTTTGTCTGGGCAGTAGGGTCCTTTATACATAACAGGAAGGACGGAGGAGAACTATTATAACAGTCTAGATCATCACAGTAAGTGGGCAGTTGAAGGGGGGGTTGCATATTGCTTTGTTGTAGTGCAAGCTCTAGGTCCTTTGGGTTTTTTGTTTGTTTGTTTGTTTGAGCTGAAGTCTCCCGTTGTAGTCTACACTGACCTCAGCTTGCTTTCTTCATCAGAGTTATGGCTTGTTTTGTGTGCCAGTGGATGTTGATACTGAAAATGGGTGTGTGTGTTTTGATCTATCTAAAAAGTAGGAGGCTGGGCAGTTTCTTCTAGCTAAGAAAGATGCGCTTCCTGCAAGGCAGATCTTGCCCTCAGATTCTCTTAAAGATGCTCAATGGTGGAGTGAGGAGAACTTTCCTGATTCCATTCTTATATTTGGGTGGGTATCAGTGTCCCCTGAACTCTGGCGGGGCCTGGAAGAACTCATTCGAAAAGTGCTAACTCCTGAGGCAAAGCGAACTAGGAAGCCCAAGTCTCTTTGTGATGCATTCGGTTTGTGTTACAATGGAGTGAGGGGTTCCCTCACTTGCTCTGTGTACAAATGTATACCCTTAGGCAAAACAGTAGGGGGTGTGGGGGCTGGGCGAACTCTGAATGCAAAGCCCAGGCTTATACAAAGTAAATTGTCTTCCCCAAAGTCCTTTGCCGCCCCCTCCCTTCTTTAAACCCAAGTTGTTGTGATTGTTCCAGGGAGGGAGTTGGGATCCAGGCATTTTTATTGTTCTGACCTTTAAGGGGCTATGGGTTGCAGTATGGGGTAGGAAGAGGGAAAGGACATGGGACTTCTTCGTGGCAGTGTCATTCTGTGTCAGAACCCGCTTCAGTGTCTGGGGAAGGGAGGGTATTAGGAGCTCCCGGCAGCCACTGATCACCACTCCTTCCTCCCTCCCACCCTCAGCTTGAATTCTTTGCTTCCGGAATCTGGGATTGTTGCTGACATCGAATTAGAAAACATCCTAGATCCTGACAGCTTCTACGAACTCAAAAGCCAACCCCTACCCCTTCGCTCCAGGTAGGACTAGCCTAACTGACCCTTCTCCCAGTCCTCCTTCCCACCTGATGGCCAGGGGCCCTCTGAGCCCACCCAACCCATTCTCCCTTTCTCAGTAGTTTGTGTTTTCCCACTGCTAAAATTAGGCACGAAGGAGGAAAGCATGTGGACAAGTCAGTGCGGCTCTGGCTTGCCCTTGCCCTCCCTTGTCCTATCTTCCTTAGTTGAATACACACACAGATTTTCTTGGAAACCTGGCTACTCTGAAAGGCGTGGCCTTCCTAAACGCCCGCCCTCCTGTGGGTGGGGCCGTGCAGCCCCTGTCCAGCCCTCTGCACACCTGGCAGACCCACCCTCCCTCTGTTCTTGAGTGGCCAGGCTAGTGGGTAGAGGCCTAAATGTGCTGAGTCATCGGCCTGGGCTCTAAGAGAGGGGAGGGGACCTGAAAGAGGGGCAGGAAGAGAGGATTGTGAAACCTCTGAGCTTTTCAAGACTAACTAGCTTCTGGCAGCAGAACCCTGGGCAGGGAGAAAATGGAGTTTGAGCCTCCCCTGGAGCCTGATGCCTACTTCCAGGAGCTCCAGATTAGGCCTGGCAACACTCTTAAGTTCACGCTTCACCCTTCAGTTTCAGTTCCACCTGAGCTCACCTTTTTAGTCCGAAAAATTGCTCTTTTTGGAGCCCAGTGTCTGCACTCACTCTATGAACTTGCTCAAAACAAGGTGTCGCCATTAAGGCTGAGAGCTACTCTCTATTTCCCCTTGAGGAATTGATCAGACTGTGATCTCTGAGTTATGGAACGCTTTCTTCTCATGTTATGCCTAGATCACGAGACCCCCAAGAGACCACCAGGAACATGAGCCTTATGCAAAACACACAAGGATCTTTATTCAAGCTTGAGCTTGGGTGGCAGTCTCTCCTGACATAGAT